AGAATTATGAAGGAAAAAAAAAAAACTTAATTAAACTAAAGAAACCAGAAATCTGAAAATTAGAACCCTAAATAATTGACAAAAAAAAGGACCTTTGCTTTGTACATTTTCCTTCAGGCAGTTTTACACAGGTTTTTGTGTAATATATTTGGGTCTTCAAAAATCAGTTAATAAATTTATCAAATTTTTCATTTTCTCAACAATATTCACAAAATTTTCAAGGTTTTGGTAATTTTAGGTATGTTCCAAATGATCCATATTTCACAAATCCTCATTTAGCTACAATTTCTCTACTTCACGTAGAACTAGTTACTAGCATGTCCTCAATTACGGATTTCACTAATGGCGTTGCACTTGATCATGAGCATGCTTGCACTTTGATCCAGAGCATGTGGCAGTCATCAAGATGGTCCAGTGTTTACTCCACCATCCATTTATCTTTCTATTGGAACAAAATAGTTGAGGATTTTGGCAAAGCAACACCTCATCCAAATAAGGATGACACTCACTCAGTGCAACATATGTTTACAGAAGAGGAAAGGGAAAGGGAAATCAAGTGGTATGTTATCTCTTAGCATTGTGAGGGCATTCACTACATGGCAGTCTATCAGAAAATACTACAACAATCAAAAAGCTTATACAGTACAAGCATACAAAAATCGCCCAAAAAGCATGAGCCCCCAAAGAAAAATCAAAAGGCTGATTTACGGCAGCTAATGCTGACGCACACGAAGTTCCGTTAAGAGACACTATCACAAATAGCACACTTAAAACAGAGCAACGCATTTCACTATGATCGTGCATGCACGGCCACTAGAAAGAGCTGGAATCTAGAATATACATAACTCAAGAAACTTATAGACGCGGTATTGAACAAATAAATGTACCTGGGATAAGGAAACATGTCGAGAACGTAGAATTTGGGCTTGGAGGTATCAATCTCATCGGGGGTCCGAAATGTCTTGTTCTCCTCCCAATATCGCTGCCACTTAGGCTCTATTTCATGAAAGGGATAAGCTCTCCTTACGTCATCCTCTTTACTTGAACTGGATTCTTCACATTCTTCGCTGAAATTTTTTCTCTTGTCATCGACACTGACCTTCACGCTGCTACGTACCCGGAAGCAGGTAGACGAAGCGGAGGCACAGCGGCGCTGAGAGAGGAAGAGTCGGCGGCGAATAGGAGACGGCGGCAGAAATGGTGGTGGCAGTATTCCGAGGCGCGGGGCGGGTTGAATTCGTGCGAACATTTGGACCTTTGGTGGTCAGTGAGGGGAATTTGTGTCCGACGTTAGGCCGTTTGGTGGAGGGTTGGGAGAGTGGAGTAGAAATAAGCAGAATGTTTAGAAGATGATAAATGGATAAGGTGTTGGTTGGGTTGGGCCTTTAGGTCGATTATTGGGTTAGAATCAGCAGTAGAAAAACACATTCTCAAACTTAACACTCATATCAAATATTTAAGGCTCTTTTACACATATATCGTAGCTCTTCTTGAAGGGAGTGATTGGATATAGATTCAACTAGTTTTTTATTGGTTTGTTTTGGTGGATATATTAAAATAATTAAAGTTGATTTGATATAAATGTAGGAGAAAAATAATTGGAAGTGATGGTTAGTTAAAATTATGTGAGTGGTGAATAGTAAATTAAAGTTAATGTGATGTGCAAAAATAATTGGTTGATATTATTTAATTATGAGAATAGTGAGATTGAGTTAGAGTTGAGTTAAATTTGAGTTTTGATTGAGTTTTTCTTTTTTTTAGATTGGATTGATAAACGATCGTCCCCTGAATAATTGCACATATATGAATCATAATTTTTATTTACAATTATACCAAAATATTAAATAAAAATTATGTTATAACAACACCCAAATCCCTAATCCCTGCAGCTGGGGCTGCAAAGCCGAGTCGAGCATTGGCCTTATCGAGCAGAATTGATATTTTTCTTAGCTGCTTGAGCTCGACTCAATAAAAATTTACAATAGCTCGAGTTCGGCTCAAGCTCGACTCAAAATAAAAATGCTCGAGCTCGGCCGAAAATTTTTAAGTGAAAAGGTAAAATTACCATTAACCACCTATGCTAATATATATAAGGGGTAATTTAGTAATTTAACATGTATCTCGAGCCGTTAGCCACTCGAGCTCGAGTCGATCTTTGACTCGAGCGCCCGCGAGCCGCTTGGCTCGTTTGCAGTCCTACCTGCAGCACATCCAAATCCAAAAACTAACTCCTCCAACCAAAGCAGTACAATTCCACCACCCCTTTCCACCACTGATTAGATCCAAACCCTAGCCCTCGACGGCGCCCCCGTCGACGGCGACATGTCGTCCTGCGAGTCCCATTCTAACCACTGCACTGTTGCGGCCGACCTTTTTTATCCGACACTCGACCTCCTCTTTCTTTCTCCTGAACCCGTCAATCTCAGCTCGACCATCACGCCCACGGCCCGTGTGATCTCCTTCAACGTATCGTTCGCGAAATCTGGGCCGTTCGTGGGGCCTTACTTCAGTTTATCCCACAATCTCGACATGAGAGTGGGAGGCCTCCTATTAGTCCCGTTGCATCTCGTCTTGAAGCCTTTTGATGCGGTTGGAGATTCTCGATAGGGTCTCAACGCTAAGGGAGAGGGCTGAGAAAGAGGTTTTAATTTCGTGGGTGACGTCTTGAACCTAGTGAGGACGAGGTCGATTTCGAGGAGGTGTTCCGAAAGAAGGATGTCGTTGGCGGCAGTCGCGTTTTGATGATCTGGCGTGAGAGTAGATATCTAGGGTTTCAAACGATCGCGAATTTGGGGGTTTATTTGAGAAGTTGATGGTGTATATTTTATGTTAATCTTGGATTTTAATATTTATTTGACGATTATAAATATTTTATGTTTGATATATAAACATATTTTTTGTTATGTAACGAGATTTGATAATATAAACCTGTTATAAATTATAAATAAACTAAATATAAACTTAAAAGAGACAACAGTCAGTAATTTTATAACAAAAGTGTATCTTTTATGTATATGTGCAATATTTTTATAAGGATTAGAATTTATGCAAAATTTTCAAAAAATTTAGTGAATATAATTTTACCATTATTTAATATTCTCCAGTCATTAAATAAATTTTCAAAAGAAAAAAATATTTTTATTACATCAATTTTTGTGACAACCCTTAAATTAATTTTCAAAGACAAAAAAATATTTCAAAACATGGTTGCTGGTTCTCTATACTATCCATGTACATAATCTCAAAATCTTTGGAGCCCAACAATGTCGATAGGTTTTGTTGTTTCATGGTGCATGTTCTTTGGATCATAATAATGATGCTCCATTTTGGCTCCATTTTGGCTTAGTATAAATAATAGTAGTTTTGATTGAGCATGTTTCGCAGTCAGATGTGTCGAACAAATAAGAGCACATTTGTTTAACAAGATGGGATTAGACAAACTTTATCTAGAGGTCTAAGATTAAATTGTACAGATAAGACTACACTTAGATTTGTTATCTTTGATTTACTCAAGATAAAATTATCTTGTTATTTGGTTTATATGTTTGTTTCCTTGGACAAAGAATAGAATTAGGTGTACATTTATCAATTTAACCCACATACTAAACTTTTTTCTTCCAATTCTCAATGGTGATCTGCATGTATTTAAGTTGGGTTTTTCTGTATGCCACTTTTTTTTTTTCACAGTTAATATAAAAGTTGGGTTTTTCTGCATGCCTCTTCTTTTTTTTTTTTCACAATTAATATAACACTCTGTTTATTTTTATTTTTTTTCTGGAGAAACGAAATATGGAAAATACTGCGATTTTTAAATGAATTGAAAACTATGCACCAAAATTCCAAATTCCACTCTCATGCCCAACACCAAATAATGCTCTCATCAAGCCAGGTGTCTTTTTCCTCACACACCCGATACCAAAATTCACCGAATTCCACTCTTCCTTTTCTATTTTTATTTTATTTTATTTTTTTTTCCTTTCTCTGCACACCCACACTGCAACACATTAAAACACATTAAAATCACAAACCAAATTTCTCAAAACCACAAATCAATTCACCTTCGTAATAGTTTTAGGCCTCCTATCCTAAGGTATGAGTGACACAATGATTCTTCGTAATATCTTGGTCTTTAAACTTTTTTTGAAAATAGTTCATATCTTTTAAAATTTTAATCTTTTTTATTTACTTCTGTACGTGTTAGGTCAATTTCTAATCTCTCATTTATATAATGCAGGATTATGGAGGCATCCATCCATAGTTATTCACAAATGTTGTATTGACACGTGTCCTACAATAAATACATATTAGACATGTGTCAATATATAAAATTATAGATGACTCCGTAAAGAGCCATTCATTGACTCCATAAAATTTATGTCCTTTTATAAGTCAAGTCTTGTCGAGAATTTATTCTCTCCATTTGCATCAATCCATAACTAGTTTGTAAAGCATTACATGATTATTTGATTTGGGTTATGCTTTCTCCAAGTCATTCAAATTCTTATTCGCACTAATTAAATTCTTTGCATTTGCATCAACTCAATTCTATTCACCGCCCCCCTTTTACTAGTCATCGCTCTCCCCCCTTTACTTTTTTGTCCTTAACCCTTTTTCAAACTCTATCTCTAAACTTTCTATCTCTCTAAATTCCCGAACATTCAACGAGCGATTCGAGCATCGAAAAAAATTCGAAAAAATGTCGAAAAAATCCTACAGCATCGGCAAAGCGTTCTTCTCTAGCAAGGTATTTTTTTTTTTTTTTAC